AAATAAATAAATAAATAAAATTGGTATGAGTATGAGCAATGTAGAAGTCAGATAGCTACATGGTTGGTAAGAAAATTAAATTTATGATTTGAAGCTTTATTCCCAAAAAGAAAGTTTTCTACTTTTTCAGACAGGCTTTGACTACAGCTCTGCATATTCACTGAATTCTGAATTTGGTTCATAACTGATTCCATTTGCTTCTCTACAGATGTCTTCACAAAAGGTGAACATTTCTGTGAATTAAAAAGTCATCATAAAATATCTGAGTGATGTTTTAACTACTTTGTCATATAGCAAAAGTAAATACCACAAGACAAGAAGAAGAATTTGAAACAGTAGTTAATCCCTAAATTCTAGTACAACCCACTTAGTTACCTGAAGTGTTTTAAAGGCTAAGTGTACTGACTAAGACATTCTGGAGCAACTAAAACTGATACCAAGCATAATAACAGAGTAACTACATCTTTTCTCTTGCCTCAGACTGGATGAGATTCTGTAAGTAGTTACCCTGGTTCAAAACCACCTAAACTGGCCCATCTGGAGCTCATTGCTTAGGAATAACTACCACAATGTTTGAAAAACCTGGGAAAGAGGAGGCAGCTGAACTCCAGTGAGCTTACATACACCTTTTACTGTAGATGCTTGCTACTTTGATTTCCCTGGTCCCTTAAACTCTTTTTTCTTTTCCCCCCAGACTTCCAGTTTTGTGGCCGCTTCTACTGATGTGGGGTATGAAACAAAGATACAGATATTCTAGAAAATTATCACAGATTCTTAAATTGTACCCATGGCTATATTTTTTGAACATTGAAGTTAAATACTGTGCGTTTCTGTTCCTTTTAAAAATCATTTAAGATAAGAATAAATTTAGAGCCAATCAAAACACAATCCAGAGCATGGTTTGGTACGCAGATCAAAGGCAGAAGTGCTATGGTTTTGCTCTGAGTAATTTCTATCTTTGTTCACGGTTAGTGATTATCTAATGCATGGAGCATTAATAATTGTTTGGAAAAAGTCGTGGGTCTCAGTTACTTTCATATTCAGCTACAAAATAACATTTCCTATGTCTTGTTTCCCTCTCATGCCATGAGTTTTGCCTCTTTAGATGTATTCCAGTTTTGTTTCAACGTCTCATCCAAACTTCTCTTTGGGCCCCACCTGATGATTAGGACATCTGGAACAGGGGTCTTTGGGGGACCAGCCTCCTCTGGGTAGCAACTTGCATCTCAGCCCTCTTGCTTGGATGTGTGGAGAACCAGCACCTCTGTTTCACCTGAACTGAAATGAGTAAACCAGTTTTTAATTAAATTTATGTCCTACAAAAAAAAAAATCTAACTTGGATATTACATATCCCTCAAAGTAGAATGTTAGAAATAAAATCTGCACTTTCAAATGCAGTGCTGGAATGAGCCTTAGAGTTTTTCTTCATTTTCTGAAAACAGGATTAGTAAATAAAACCTCTACAGCAATGCAGTGCAGCACAAATTTTTTACTCAGCTAAAGTCAGACATGACATAAATACACTTGTTTTGAAACAAGAAGCTTTAGGATATTCTAAGGTCAGGGTGCTAAAAAGACTTTATTTTTCTAAGACTCTTTAGAAAAACCTTATAATCTACCTATATTTTCCAAGGGAGAAACCACAGTCCTAGAGAACTGGGCTATAACTCCAGAGCTCTGAAACTTAAATATTAAGGTTGGTCTGACTGAAGTATGAATGGAAGTTTATGCATGTATGTGTGTGTAAGACCCAGCAGAAACAACAAGGTAAATTAAAAAAATTAGAAGGCTGAAAGGGTTGAAAGAATGGTCTGCATTTGTAGCAAAGGATACTGAAAGGGTTGAAAGAATGGTCTGCATTTGTAGCAAAGGATACTGAAAGGGTTGAAAGAATGGTCTGCATTTGTAGCAAAGGATACTGTACTCGACTGCACCACTTCCAGAACACTGTTTCCAGGAGCAAAACTGAGGAATGTGTTGTTTATGTGAAAATCAAAGTTCCTGCACCCTGATAACATTGCAGCGCAGATAATGTCTCAGTGAAGACTATTCATCCTCCTACCAGCAGACAGGAAATAGGTTGTAGAATACAATATATACCATTTCTTTCCACATGAGCCATCAGGAAATCATATTCCCGTTGAGTAAAAGGAGGCAATGGACAGTAACCTAGCATAAGAATAATGGATGCCGAAGTATCCAAGACTGAGCAAAAAGACTGTCCCGTAACAGCTGGGGGAAACTTAAAGGAAATAAAAAACTGTCCAAATGTTAGTTTTCAGTCTGTCAAGAACTCCAGAGACACTAAAAGGACTCAGTAGCTTCTCTCCCTTGTCTTAGGTGTGGAACACAGGTGATCCTGGCCAGATCACTTGATCATACACATTTAGGGATGTGGGAGTGTGTGGGTGTAAATGTGCAAGTGTTTAAAATCTGAGAGAAACAGTGTGAGTAGATAAAATCAGTATAATTAGAAATTTTATAACCAACTATCACCTTCCTCAAGATCTCACTGAGTTTTATTGCACTAATTCTGCACACAACTTATTTATGTAGCTCTGTAATAAAAAAATGACAATTTATCTGAGCTGCGTAATTTGCAGTATAAGTAATTATTGCATTAGCATACAGTGGCTAGCAGATCTATTTCTCTTTAAGATAGAACAATAGGAGAAAAAAACTCTTTAAATGCAATATTCAAGCAAGTATAAGCCACTTTTTCAAAGGAAAACATAGGCAGGGAGGTTGGAACGATATGGTCTTTATGGTCCCTTCCAACCCAAACCACTTTGTGATTCTATGAATAACCTCTACCATAATTAGATATATGCTTGTAAGCTTTTGGTAGCTTTAGAATAGCTGTGGGGGAAACTAGTTCCTTTTAATGGGTCAGTGTGTGAAACAACTGTCCCTTCAAGTTCATGCTTCTTTTTAAGTTTTGAATTTTTATTTGTGTTTTCAAGTGTATTTTTTGCAGTAAAAGAAAGTCTGAAACAGCATACACTTCAGATTCTCCTGTGGATTTACACTTCTCACAGATAATACATCAACTTTGATCCTAACGGTGTAGACATTAAACAGACAAAACATGTGCCAATGGAATTACAGCACCTCAGAAGAAAAATGTAGCATCTAATGGTTTCCAGTCTTGTTGCTTGCATCTTTTTTTATTTTCTGTACTTTATTTCTTTGCATAGATTATGTGGGTCTGTAATCCTCATAGGTTACTCTTGTCTACATTTCTGTTCTGTTCCAGTCCTACTGACTCCTAGCCTACAGGTATTCTTTCATATTACTTTTTTTTTCCCCCACAGCTCAGACTCTTGAGCCATTTCTAACCTTTCATTTGCCTCATCTTCTTTACAGTCAGTGGTGAGAGATACCTAAAGGCCTCACCCTAAAAGGAGCATCTGTGGCCAGAAACTAGAGCTGCTTTTCAGAAGTTTTATCTCATTCTGTACTGTCTGTGAAAGGATGGTAGCACAGACTTCTTGTTCAGCCTATAGATGGCAAGTTGGGAGTTGGCTTTTACCAATTGCATTTTATTGCCCACTGATACATTCTGATTTCTGTGTTCTTGACTTTCAGAACTTCCAGGTCTGAAAGTGCCTCTAAATTGGCCATTCACACTAAGCATTTCATTTGAAACTGGAGTCACATTGGATAAATATAGGATGGGGAAAAAATAGATACTCCATGCAAGATTAGAAAGATATCATTCTCGTTTGGCATGCTCTGTAGCTAATATTCTGCACTGGTATTATCCAAGACTCTTGACTGATGCCAAAGACAGAGTAGGGTAACTATTAACCACACAGTTAGAGGGTTAAAGACAAGTGATATCATACTCTTTCATTTTTTTCTTGTGCTCTGTATTAAATCTGTCTTGAAAGGTTGATTATTATTTGAAGACTTGCAACTATTGTCAAAGAGAAAGATTCTTCATTGTATTTCTCAACAAAGTTCTTCCTGCTTTGTGATTTTTCATAAAGAATATTACTTGAAGTAGCAAAGGAAATACAACTCCACCCCCCTCAACTGAACTCCCTCCAAAACCCCTATGGAAAATAATGCCATTAAGTGATACTTAATCATTTCTGTTTCAATTTTTTTTTACTAAAGTGCATGTTGCCAAAAATAAACAAACATCTGGAAGACGAGGAATCATTCTGTACAGTGTGCAGTCCAAGAGACATCTTTGTCTTGTTACAGTCTTGCATGATTTATCAAGATTTTAAAAGATAGAAAGCTGCATAGATCAGATAACCAATAATGGGAAACAGACTTTTACCTTTAGGTTACTGGTTCAAGTCCAAGATATGTAAATAGCAAGAGAATACTTCTCATGCTCTGGGGCTGGTATGTAATACACATATCAGCGAACTCCTACTCTGTTACCAGTATAAAAATGACAACATCATTAAGTTAACTGCAATAATTTTTATTTTTTTATAACTGTCACAACTGCTGCAGGAGACTGAATAGATAATACTAACTACTTGGAAAAATTTCCCTAGAACCCAGACTTAGTGCAATGGCAAGGAAACTACTGGTAGACTTTCAACTGTGCATCTGCAAAACTAGATAACATCCTACAGTAAGAGAGAGATAACAGTCTAGAGAAAGAAATACTAGGATTTAATACCTCTGCTTTGGTACCCAACAGCTACAGTGATTAATCAACAAAGAACACCTCGGAAAGTATAAAGTAAATCACAAATCCCAAAATAGTAAGTTCCATAAAGTATGCCCACAAATATTCAGAGAGATGGCAGTAGATAACCCAAATCCCATAACAAGTGAAAATTATCTGTGGTCTGAAGCCTATTTACAAACTCTATCTTGAAAATACTCTTCTCCAAAATATTGTTTTCGGTAGAACTGCCACAGAAGCTGAATATAAAACCAATAACAGGTCTCAAAATCTCCAGATTTTATTCCAAAGTTCAGGAGAGGGACAATTATCTGATTTCCACAAAACTGTTGAAGTAGGCACCATACACAAGAACTGTAGTGCAGTACTAACCTGGGTCAATAAAAGCCTGGAATGCATCTCTCTCCCTCCGGACTTCCTCCATTCAGAGAACAGCTGTCCCATTTCCTTTGTTCCTAAAGTCTTCTTTTGATTTGTCCCCAAGTCCATTCCTGGTTAAGCTGTCTACTGTCAGTGGTGCAGATGGGAACACTGTGTATTTATCTGCACGAAACAAGATGCATCCTTACTCTTACTTACATCAACTCAAGTTACGCAGTCATAGTTCATCTGAAGGTCATTTTGCTCACTTGATCACCCTGCATTTTGCAAAGTTCTGCCCCTTGAACTGTATCAGGGCATTTTTATCCAGAACTCTAACTAGTAATAGTATTTGTGGTGTATTGGAATACAGCTAAAGAATATAAGAGAACCTGAATTGTGCTTAGTCAAAATCTGAGCCTGTGAGGTTCAAAATTCTCTGTCTTCAGTGAAACTCATTGATGGAAAATATTTGAAACTAAGGCCATTATATAACTTAAACCAAATTGTTCCTGTGCAAAAAATTCGATTTTAGATAGTTGTTTGGATGTTCTCAGGCAGTCCATGATCATAATGTTTAATACTGCTTGTAATGAATATATAGCTACACTGCAAGATCCAGTGAGTCTATTATGAAGCATAAGGTGTTTTCTTCCAAAAACTTTCACAGATCATAGAACGGTTTGTGTTGAAGGATCCCATTGTCAGGGACACCTTTCACTAGACCAGGTGGCTCAAAGCCCCACCCAACCTGGCCTTGAACTCTTCCAGGGATGGGGCATCCACAACTTCTCTGGGCAACCATTTCCATTGTCTCACCACCCTCACAATAAAGAATTTCTTCATAATATCTAAAACATTCAACTTCAAGCCATTCCCCCTTGTCCTGTCACTACATGTCCTTGTATAAAGCCTCTCTCCAGCTTCTTTGTAAGCCCCCTTTAGATACTGGAAAGTTGCTACAAGATCTTGGTGGAGCCTTCTCTTCTCCAAGCAGAACAACTCTAACTCTCTCAGCCTGTATTCGTCCTCTTGGTCCTTCTCTGGACTTACTCCCACAGGCCCATATCCTGTGCTGGGGACCCCAGAGCTGGGTGCAGTACTCCAGGTGGGGTCTCATGAAAGAGGGACAGCATCACCTCCTTGACCTGCTGGTCACATCTGAGGTATATATACACATACAAAGAGATTCAAATAGGGATCAGAATACAGCAAAAGCTTTGCTTGTGCTTGGGACACAGATCTCAGATGTGTTAGTTCCTTTAATTTGTATAGTTGACATAGAAAATACAATTTAAAAAAATCCTAACCACTTGGCCAGTTTGGATACAATTACTTTTAACCTATCTTTTAAAATTAGAATTAAAAACAGTACTGTGATTGATTTCAACAACTTGTTCTCCATGGACACAGCAAATCCACAGTAGATACAGGATGTTCTCAAAAAAGGAGATGCTTGGTTAGCTGAAAGACTCAGGATTCAATATTTTTATGGTGGTGTTGTGCTAGAAAGCTGCAGTGGAGGAAAATCTTTATTGAAGCAGAATTTTAAGCTTTGGTACCTTCTCACTTGGGATAATGATACTGTGACAAGATTCCTGTATTTGGTCATGCCTTAGAAAAAGGTAAGGAGTGTTAAGCAAAGTGCAGGGGTGCAGCACCCACAGGGATAGATATATTACCTAAATTTTAAACAGTGCAAACCCCTATAAGGACACTAATTCACTGTCTTGTATTTAAAGAACAAAGTGGATTTTCAAAAGAGGCCCTGGCATGGTCAAACAATATTATTACACATGGGGAAATAAAGATACAGAGGTAAAGCAACTTGCAAAGGTCACACAACTAGAGTGGTTTCTTGATGTCTGGGTGATTACTGAAAACCATTCTGTCTCTTTGCACACATAGGCCCCTTTGCAACAAGCCTGGTAAGTCTGCAATAGTCTTTTTATGAGCAGTGATGTGATGCAAGAAAATTGTTACATCTTAATTTTTATCCTGAATTTTTCACATAGGAAAGTCAACAGAATGACAAAATTTACTGGTTTAACTAATTATTTTGAGTTCAGGACAAAAAAAAAAGATTTGTAGTTCCATGCAAGGATCTTACAAGTTTTTTAGGTTTTTTAAATGAAGATTTTATCTAATATTTTTATATATATTTAATTTTTCATACCACATAATACAGCTAATGATGACTGAAACTATCTAGAGCCTTTTGGTATTCAGATTTAGGAAAAAAAAGTGACAAAACCACTGCCAACATATTAAAAGTAGCATGAGAAGTCAGAGTGGAAAAATCTTCAATAATAAGATTTTTAAAGCATGTTAGTGTTCTTAAAAGAGAGCCTGCACAGTTATATCAGATTTAGATTTATGCTGGTACAATTTACAATTTTATGATAAATGACTTGCATCTTTTTGATGTTTCACAGCAAATTTTCATTTGTCACATAAAATATATCAATTTTTATCACAAATCTAATTTATCTTTAAGTGTGGAAAAATAATTTTGTTAGTATATATTTTCACTATATTCTCACTAATGAAGTATATGCTTAAGTGCATAAAAAAAGCATTCCAAACACTGAGATGAAAAGTAAATAAGTATGTTGGATTTTCATGAATTGTTTATACAAAATCAGAATTCATTAAAGCTGCTGAATAAAATGCAGCTCAAGCACTAAATCTCAGAAAATATGTGACCTCTAGTGGGAGAATATGGATAACCGGAAGAGAAACAGTTACCAGTGGAAGTAAATACTAACATTTTCTCTTCATTTTTTCTAGGCCAAGACTGGGACAGCACTACCTTCTATAATTCAAGAGATTTATTCTGCTGCACCATTGACTGAAGAAACTGAGGACGAAGCATCAACACCAAAATTAATTGATGGGTCTTCAGCACAGGGATCTGGGGTTCTTGGGCTCCAAACTCAAGATGGTTAGTAAGAAAGAGCAATGAGTTTTTGTTTGTAGCTTTGATTTTGAGTAAACACACTTTATTTGCTTATGAATGTCTACCTTTTTTACTGAAGAGGAAGTTCATAATTCCTGTACTTCTCTTACTGAAGAAAGATATAACATGTCTATCTTGAGTGCTCTAAGTCTTATAGTGCCTAGTCAAAACGTTTCCATACTATTTCACTACGAAAACAACTGTGTCAATGAGAATTTGCAACTTAAAAATTTGCTGATGGTTAGCAAATTCTACCAGTACTTGGTTTTCTGTCTTAGATTTCAATGTCATTATCAACTATCTTTGTTTTATGATGATTTTTACATGGTTTTTATAAATATGGTCATACAATGTTTAATTAAAATGTTGAAGAATTTTTTGCCATAAAAACTAGAAACTGTTAAACTTAAGGAAAGGGAACTATTTAGAAATTTGGGGTGAAAATGATTTTCATTTCTTCTGACTATGTATAATAAAATAAGAACCTCATCTTTCAGAGGAATTAAAATTGCAAAACATAATCTGTCCTTCTCCCACACAGATTTTGCAATGCTAATAACTGGCATTTGGCAGAAGGTCCTCTAAACTCTTGTAGCTGAAGCCCACTAAGTTGTCCATTGCTGTGATGGATCTTCGTGTTGTATGGTGATAAACATACAAAGACAGGAAAATTCCACTTTTTACTATGCCTAACACTGCAGCTGAGTGCAATAGAAGAAAAATGAAATTATAAAACAAACAGACAAACAAACTGCAAAAAAACCCCAAACCAAAACCCCAGAGTTCATATTTCCAAAATTGTGTATTCAGTGGAGTTAATAATTCATAGTCTTGTTTTTATACATATTACAAGTAAATCTTGATCAGGCAAAAAATTCAGTGAGGTCAAAACAAATAAAAATTGAATGAGAATTTCCCAGGAGATTTCAGAAAAATAAAAAAAAAGTCCACTTTTTTTTTTCAATTTTGAAAACTACAGGATGTTACAAAATGTCATGTAAATATTATATAGGATGAATTCTGTATGTGTCAACATTTTCAAGCACTGGATGCAAACCAGCTAGTGTTTTAACTAAAGACACACATGGGAGGCTCAAGGCTGTAACATGTCAAACCAGATTGCTTTTGTGTCTTTCTTTTTTTTCAGCAACATATTTTCCTGTCAGATGTTGTTGCTGTTATTGGCCTGATACTGAATAGAAGACTACAAGGCTCAGGAACACCAAGCCAAGTTCATTTTTCTTTTTGATGTCTTTTTGAATCCTTCCCCTACTTCTGTTCTTTTTCAGTTGCGCCATCCATAGGTGACAAATACCACTCCTCCAAGATCAAAAATAGGACAGAAGAGGAAACCCTTTTCCTGTACTATGTTACAATATTATGAAAAAATGTCAACCATCCTTAACTCTACATTCATTTAGGCCGAGATATGCTGGAATATTTCAACATGTGATAATTTATTTTTTTTCCCTGTGTCAGGCTTGCTCCTTGTAGCCAATGTAAGCTGTCCTGTGGAGAAAGTTAGGGAAAGCATGAAAAGATTCTTATCTCTCCATAAATGTTATTCCTGGATGTCCAAGTAGAGATTCTCAAATAAAAGAGTACTCTGGTTATTCATTCTTTAATCTTGCCTGAAGAGGCACCTCAATCAGCTATTGGTAATTAATATGGATTAAGAAGGCACATCTGTCATGTAGCCACAACTGATCCAGAGAAAAAACTAATACACAAGAGAAACATTTTCATACTCATGAATTATGCTACTATTCTGTAAGTAAACACAACAAATAACCAGCCATCTGCTACAAGGAGGAGGAAAACATGAAACAGAAAAGTATTTCTATGGGATTAAAAGCTGATAAACAGATATGCTGTTTTATACCCATAATCAAAGAAAAGGTGTATCAAAAACTGTCTCACAGGTCTCACAAAATTTGAATAGTACCATCAAAAGAAACTTCTGAATTCATAGTATTCATGCAGTGTTGTGATTGAGATGAAATGGCTCCATTTTTCATTTTCACAAACTCGTGGTGGTAACCAAATATTTTGTTCACAGGGTCTCCAAGTTCCCTTAACTCAGACTGATAGAGAGATATTTCATGACTGAATTTCTGAATCAGAAAACATAATTAAACAACATGCAAAAGGAAACTGAGGTTCTTCTCCATAGCTCTGCAGGAAAATACTAATTTCCCTACAAAATATTCAGAAGTGCTATTTAGAGAACAAAACAGGAATCGTAACAAGTTTCACTTGTTAGCTCTGAGTCCTCTGTCTAGAGGGAAGTACGCACTTGCCAGCTTAGGGGGAAACTGACCTTTGGCTGGTTGCTGTTACCAAACATTGTATGGTTATAGTCTGAGAAACACTGTATTAGAACAAGTTAATTTTTCTTCTAGGCATAATTATAAAAATAAATTTTAAGAATTTAATCACTTCATTCTTGAAATTATATTATGTGGTGATCAAAACATAAAGGGAGTGACCTTTACTATAGACAAAATCTAACCGTTATGTGCTTAGGTGAACATTTCATTGCAGTAATTTACATATCATTTTTGTACATTTCCTTTCCAACAAGCTGTTTTCTTTTAAATTCCTTCACAGGTCTTCCCACTTGCCTTTTGTGTACATGCTTAGGAACTACAGTCTACTGTGATGATCGTGAGCTTGATGCTGTTCCACCATTGCCTAAGAAAACCACATATTTCTATTCACGCTACAACAGAATCAGGAAGATCAGCAGAAATGACTTTGCTAACTTAAGTATGGACAGTAGTATTGTCGCAACTAGCTTTAGTTTCTACTATTTCTGGCTTATGCTAATCTAAAACACAGCGATAGGTTTTCTATAATGTTTGATGATGGTAGAATTTTACACACAAATGCACACACAGAAAAGCAGTTTGCCACTTTGGAGCATAAAGGTCAATACTTTAGACACAGATTCTCTGTCAAATTTTTGAATTTTTAGAAATAGCAATGGTCATCAGTTGTTTTGCTGTTACTACAATCGTCTTTAGATAGGTAGGAAAAAAAGCCCAAATGTTCAATTTAATTTTGTTTGGTTTTTTTTTAATTAGAAAAATGCTTGAGTGTACAAATATCTTACATATAGGAAAATGTTAAAATAAAGAAACATGTGGAAGAAGGCAGTAGAGAATATGTTTATTTCTCTTTAAGTGCTATTTTTTTCAAAATATAGTAATTTAAAAGATTTCCAGAGCACACAGAAACCTTGAAACTGTTAACTTTGAAGTCTTCCACTGCAAAATATATAAAGTATGCACGGGAAGTTCGAAACAAGACGAGAAGGAGACACAGGTTACCCTCCTTAGGAGAACTGGTCAAATATGTATTATTCCATTATATACTGAGAACAATGTCACATAGTGGGCCAGGAATGAATATGATTCAAGACACTTCACATGTAATTTAAATGACCCATTTGCTCTTTTCTTTTTCTGAAATTTCAGGAAATACATTCTTACATGCTTCTTTTATCTTATTTCTCTGCCAGACATCTTAAAAAGAATTGATTTGACTGCAAACTTTATATCGGATATTCACAAGGATGCCTTCCGAAGATTGCTCCAACTTCAGGAGCTGGTGCTCTGTGACAACAGGATAAGGCAACTCCCTGAGTTACCATCTACCTTAACATTCCTTGATGTTAGTAAGAACAGGCTTGGTCACAAAGGAATACGTAATGAGGCATTTAAAGTAAGTCTGGATTGAAAGGGAAAATCTTTTTTTCCTGTCTCCAGGATGTGGTCAGAAGAGCAGCCTGTCCTCATAAGAGTGATGTTCCAGTCTCTTAATCACCTTTGTAACACTCCACTGGACCCGCTCCAGAAGCTCCATGTCTCTCTGGTACTGAGGAGCCCAGAACTGGATGTAGCACTCCAGATGTGGCCACACTAGGGCTGAGTAGAGGGGCAGGATGACCTACTTTGACCTGCTTGCAATGCTTTTCCTCATGTACCCAACAATACCATTGGCCTGCTTGGCCACAGGGGCACACTGTTGGCTAATGGACAGCTTGTTGTCCACCAGGACCCCCAGTTCCTTTTTCACAGAGCTGCTTTCCAGCAAGTTGTCCCCCAGCCTGTGCTGGTGTGTGGGGTTATTCTTCACCACGTACAGGACCCTGCACTTGCCTTTGCTGAATTTCAAGTGGTTCCTCTCTGCCCATCTCTCCAGCCTGTTGAGGTCCTTCTGAATGACTGCACAGCACTCTGGGGTGATGGTCACCCTTTCCGGATTTTTGTTGTCAGTGAACTTGCTGAGAAGGCATCTGCTCCTCCATCCAAGTCATTGATGAATAAGTTAGACAGGCCTTCCACTAGACCCTGTGCTATTGATTATGACTCTTTGAGATCTGCCATTCAGTCAGTTATCAATCCACCTTCCTATCCACTCATCCAGTCCATACTTCCTAAGTTTGCCTATGAGTATGTTGTGAGAGACAATGTCGAAAGCCTTACTGAAGTCAAGGTATACATTATCCAATGCTCTCCCCTCATCTATCCTGGTAGTTGTTTCATTTTAGAAGGCAATCATGTTGGTTAAGCATGATTTACCTTTAGGGAATCCATGCTGACTACTCCTGATCACCTTCTCGTCATCCACGTGGATAGAGATGGCCTCTAGAATGAGGTGGTCCATCACATCTCCAGGGCTTGAGGTGAGGCTGATTGGCTGGTAATTCTCCGGATTCTCCTTCTTGCCCTTTTTGAAGATGAGGGTAGCACTGGCTTACCTCCACTCCTCAGGCACCTCTCCTTTCAAAGACCTTTCAAAGATGATTGTGAGCAGCCTAGCTATGATGCCTGCCACTCGTTCATCCACTAAGTCAAGGGAGAATATTATTTACCTTTCAAAATGGAATGAGAAATGTATTTTTAGCTCAGGAATTTCTTTTCCAGTTTTTGTTTGCTTCAACACCAAAACACTTCTGCAAAATTGAGTAAGCTTGTCACAAAAGCAGACAGAACAAGAAGCCCTTCTATATAATGACCATAAAAGGCAGTATTATCTCTTCAAAACGTAATCATTGAAATTACAGTTCTAATAATTGTCTATAGATATTTCAGAAACATTTTCCCCCTTCATTTTAATCCAGACACCCAATTCTTAACAGAAACATTCTCAGCATGTACAAATTAAATTCATTACTATCTTTGAATTTATGGCTTTTCACCCGTATCATGTTAAAACAAAATGTGTTACTATCCAACCATGCTCATTGCAGTGATAGATTTCAAACTTAGTTGCTAGAGATTTTCAAACATGTCTGTCATTTCCCCCTACCTTTTTCCTTCATCCTCTAGGATCTGAATGAACTGCAGCATCTTTACATCACTGACAATAACTTGGATCATATTCCCTTGCCGCTCCCTGAAAGCCTCCAAGCTCTTCATCTTCAGGTAGGCTACAAAAGTAGTGACTCAAATAGTGAAACTGGAAAGGCAATTATTGCCATGTACTGTTTCTTCTGTTTATCCAGAAGTGTTTATCCAGAAGTGTACTTAACTAAACAAGATATGGAAAACATAAAATTAATTAGCGAATGTAGTCTTTCAAACAAGTAAAATTTAGCTCAGCTAAGCATTAATTTTTAGAATTTGTAATACAATATTTTTCAAACATTAAATTCTAGACTTATTATTAGTACAAGTCAAAATTATGTTCACAGCTGTCAAGACCATCATTAGTCTAAGAGACTTCAATGACAGAAATCCCTCACCCTGCTTATACAAATCTTCCAAAGGGAATACTTTCAGACACACAGAGGAAGTAATTTTACATATTTATTGTATCTATACTCAGTGCATTTCATTCTTAATAAAGGTAATTCCCAGTTAACATTTTCAGCCAAATGTTTCCATTTGACTATGTTGGAAGATCCCATCCATCACCCTTCTGCAATTCTTTTATCTAACACTTTCTTTCTGAATTCTTCCTTTTTACCTTTTCCAGCTCTGCTTCTTTCCCTTTATCTCCTATTGTATCAATGCAGAGTTTGGATTATCAGATGTTACATAATACAGAAAAAAACCCTTTTAATAAGGAAACTAATGCACCACATATAATTTAAGCCCTATCTTTCAATAAGTAAATCTATAGAAACTCTCTGTCTGTTAGCTGATCTTTTTTTCACCTGTAAATTAAATATTCAGTGATATGTGCTACAGAAAAAAGTTAGTGAGCTGTACTTTTTCCACACTAATTTCTGGCTAGCAAAGGAACGAAGAGGAGAAGAACTTTCAGACAGCCTTTATTTTAGGAGATGAACCTTTTAGTCCCAATTTCCTGATAATATTGTATTCTAGCAATTCATTGTTGAAAATAGTTCTCTTCAAGAACAAAAGATCAGTGAATGTTAGGCATATGAGAGGAATTTAAATCAAAAGAATAAAACCTAAAGCATTCAATTTTCCCAGTATATATACAGATATGAGGTAAACTAATGTGAGAGGGCCTGCAGGAAAGAAATTTGTCACAGATCAAATTTCTAATTTGTGCCTTTGCAGGCACATCAAGCATCAGGATGATAATTCCGTTTCTGTGATTTTTGGACTGGCTTATGCTGGTTCCAATTTGTCTTAATAAGCCTCTTCAATATGATCTAGAAAGGAAAATCCTTACACCTCTACCAGGCCCCTCCTGCAAAGCCTGTCTCTGCTACCTGGTATGAGTTACCTAGTTTAGAAGCTTTGCATTGGCCAAGAAATTTTCCCCATTTGGAAGATTTCTTTGTTGATGACTTGCCGCCACAATCTGGGTCATTGAGTTCAAATAAGTATCTCTCTAGGCACCAAAAATACATCCATAAATGGTTCTTCAAAGAGTTAAAAATTACTTTCAGGCAACTATTTTGATAGCTTCTTTTTTTTTTTCTTTTAGAACAACAATATTCAAGAGATACATGAAGATACTTTCTGCAAAATGAGAGATTTTACTTATGTACGTAGGGCTCTTGAAGACATCAGACTGGATGGTAATCCCATCAACTTGAGCAAAACACCTTATGCATATATGTGTCTACCCCGTTTGCCAGTTGGTAACCTCATCTGAGCTTTGACAGCAGCCTATACTGTCATATGCTATCAGAATCTCAAAAGACAAATCATTACCTTGCTGCTAAACTAAGATGATTTTTTCAAATCTCATTAATTTGGGAAATATTTCTGTTAATATTTAAATTAATTATTATGATACAAAGAAGGTTATTAAATGCTAGAAGACAAATCCATTATTTACCCAACTGCAAGTTATTTAGCACTATCAAGACAAATATTTTACTACAAAAACAATGTAAATGCCAATTTTTATGCTGAATTATGGATGAATTCTAAAATTAAATAATTTTATATATTAAAGTTTAACTATTACCTGGTAAATAAAGAAATAAAAATAAAATTTGTGTACACAATTAAATGTAGTTGTCTCTAGAAAAAAAGGCCTAGGACAGATTTTGTTTTACTAACGTCATCATCACCATCATCATGGCTAGGCTTTGTGAACGAAGATTTGGGGAGGGCTCTACCCACGTTTGTTACAAGCGCGCTGGTGGCTAAAAAGGCCAACACGAGATAGGCACGTCTGGCTGCAAAAGGCACGGCAGAATGACTCCTTACTAATGTACAGCCTCAGTTAATCATTTTATGGACCACTACTGCCATCGTGTGTTGATAAATAGTGACACCTGGTATCATACCAAAGCCTAACACTAAAGGTAAATGTGACTTGTTTTTATTTGTTTGTTAAACTTAATCCTATGCAATTTTTTCTTCCTTTTCTCTCTAATGAAAGCTGAAGGAATGGAAAACTCTTTCAAGATAAAACCAAGGGAACATTATGTTGATTTTTTGGGTTTTGGTTGGGGGGGAGAATTGTTTGGATTTGGGTTTGCTTCTGCTTTTTTTTTGTTTTGTTCTTTTTTTTTTTTAAATCAACATAGAAAATTTAAAAAAATGTTTCTTTTTTAAAATATTATACTTTTTTTGTCCTTTTGTATTTAAATAAGTAGACTATAAATGCCATCAGTACAACTTATGTCTCAGGTCATGATACTATAAAGATGCTCTAATCATTAAGTATGAAAATTCAGGGTTCTCAATGATATCTCTCAGCAAAAGAGAGACAGAGATTCTGGTCTAAATGTGGATATGCATCATTTGCTATGAAATGATAAGCCTGATCTGACAGTATCAGTGTATGGAGAGGGAACCTAAACAATAAATACCCACATTCCCAGTTATACAGGCTGTGGAAACTTCCAGAGACAAGCACAGCCACAAAACTCCCACCCTTATTTGTGCGGTCAGAATGAGGACACGCTTGTCTTGAACCCTTCAACCTAGCTGTCTTCTATAAAGCCTTTTATCTCATCACAGAAGACAAATTTATTTATTTATTTATTCCCATCCCTGGAAGTGTTCAAGGTCAGTTTTGGTGGGCCTTTTGAGCAACCCAGTCTAGGGGAAGGTGTTCCTACAGTAGGATTGGAACTACGTGATCTTTAAGGTCCCTTCCAACCTAAACCACTCTATGATTCTGTAATTTATTAGTTTTTATTCTGTACTACAAAAAGCCAACAAGAGGGATGTTACAAATAACATCTGGTGTTATGTAAATATACTATGTATAGAAAATTAATTCTGAGATAGGTCTGCTATCTATCTTTCCACCTTCCACACTAAAAAGGCAGGAATTCATTTCAACAGTTGACATAAAGGGCTGAATTCAAGATTTTGAGTCAGGAGAGCAGCAAAGGCTTTTTGAAGGTGCTGACTTTCTGTGCCAGCTTGTGACAGCTACTTAGTCCCTCTGCATCCTTCTCCGCCAGGTGACCAGGACAACTTTCCCTCCCTCCCACAAGGTGTTCTGAGGGAAGCAGGAATCAGGTCTGGCAATCGTTAAAGCGAGGCCTGGTCTAGGGCCTGCAGGGCCCCACCCGGGAGGGAGCCCCCTGCTGACCGATAGCTGGTGTCCTTGTTACACCGCCATGTTGCTGCCACGGGCCGCTGGCTCCTCCAGGCAGGGTGGGAAGGCAATCTGTCACTCTGTCCCCATGAGAAGAGCCTCTCTGGGACAGCAGGGTGTCAGTATGGGGAGGGCAAGATACAAGGCTCCCTCACAAGCCTCCAAGCTAAACACCCCATATGGAGCCAGAGGCACTGCCAGCGCTGCAGGGCCAGGCCTCAGCCGAAGGGAAGACTACCCCCAGCACAGTCCCCCCAGAAGTGCCATGCCACTGGCTGCCGTCGCTCCTGGGCAGCACAAGAAGGCATGGCGAGGTGAGGGCAGGGGCAAGAGGCAAAGACAGTGGCAGCAAGTGCAGGCAGACGACATGCTAATCATGCTCCTGTGTAGCAACAGGGCTGGCAGGGGCACAAGACGACAGGAGCAATGGAAGCTCAGGGGCAGAATGCACGTTAACAGAGACAATGAACAAGGGCAACAGGAGAGGGAGAAGGACCTCATGGAGCAGGACCCCTGTGCGTCTTCCTCAAATGGCTGTGGGAGCCAGGGTGGCCAGCACAGGGGTCCTGTGCGTAGGCCACAGTGGAAGCGGCCTGGGAAGGCACACTGGTGGAGTCACAGCCGGAGGAGGAATTGGAAACAGCAACAACAACTACAATGCACCGAGCCCAGCCACCAAGACCAGGCAGGTGGGCAGAGCAGCAGTGGTCAAAAGGGAGTCCTGTTCTGGAATGCGAAGAAGCGCTGCTGGGTCCCAACCTTGCGTGTGCCAGCAGCAACCTGGCGAGAGGCAAGAGCACGCCTCCGCCCCATGAACGTGGCAGGACACCGCCCGCCAGGGATGTGCACACCCCACAACACCAGCCAGTACATCATGGACCAGCACGAGTACGTGCAGGGAGACAAAAAGGAAGAGGCAGTGGTGATGTCTGAAGGAAGGGGTAACTGCAGCACTGCAGGTAAGGATTTCCCTCTCATGACCTCTTTTCCTTCCACAGCCCAATAGGTTGAAGGCACATGAACAGAAGAGGAAAAGGAGAGCACATAGCCTGCCCATCAAGATTGCAAGTGCCAAGACGATATCTACTGTGAAACCTAAACTGGAGTGACAGCACAAGGAAAGCGTCTGTCTCATAAAATCATCAGCTATTAAGAGCAAGGAATCTCTTAAAATTCAGCTTCCTAAATAAATATATATATGCACTTCTAACCTTGCTGGCTACTGTCTAATGATTCACATACACTAAGAGAGGCCTGGCAGAATAAGAACGAGAAAAAGAAATATGCCAAAGTGGTCACAACGGCTACCCCAGAGACTTTAGAGACTCTCTGTTCCCCTCAGGTACATATGTCCCATTCAGGAACATTTTTAGGTATATTACTATGGTATTCTGAAAAGAGAAGGCCTAACTAGATGACTAAAATAAGAAAGAAACCAACATGTATTTCAGCACACATTAGAATGGATGTTTTTTTGAACATTAGAAAAAAGAAAGAGTACTTAGATAAATATACTCTTATATAAGCAGACACTACACCCTGTTTATCAATGGCTAAACTGTATATTTGCATATCATGTAAGCAAAATAAATGAAGCTCAAAAATAGAAGAAAAAGAACAAAAAAATCCCATTTGGGTCACAGATCATTCACCTTGACTTGTCATAAATGCTCATTTTCCTTTTACCAAATATTGAGAAGAGAAGGAGGCTTGGTCATATGCCCTACCTTCACTTTTTAAGGTGGCTGAAACTATAGACATGGAAACTGTCACAAATATAGTAGTGTTTCCATCTCAAGGTGAAAAAATCATGTTTGTCTATTAGTCATCATAAGAGAAAAGCAATAATCAAAACTCTTGGCTTAAGAGGCTGCTTAAGAGAGAATGATGCTGATGTGGGCTATGGATTTAAAATAGGGAGAATGAAGAATATTAGCAGGAAAGGCTTAGGATCTGACCTTTATATTTGTAGCCAAAGATAAAATAAGGTGCCATAAGTCTTTTCTAATTATGGTCAAGTTAAGACAAGGTCTAAAACTCAACTCCTTATACAAGTGTTCAATTTTTCATGTTTCTAGTAAAATAAACCACTAGAAAATAAAAATAAAACCAATAATAAATACAATTTTTCTTTAGATGTTGATAGGCAAAACAATTATATATAAGTATATAGTTGTATATATAAATATACATATTTAAGTTTCTTGAATACCTTATGTAAAATTGAGTGGCCACTTAGATTTGTGGATCTATTTCTTTTCTTTGGGTTTTTTTCTCCAACTAATTATTTAAAAAACCTAAATACTCTTCCTGAAATTCACCTTGTAACGCTTTAATACTTTTTGCTCTTCCTCCTTCGCGGTCTTCTTCCCTAATAGCTAATAAAAACCTTCTTAAACCATTAGAACTCTAATATTTAGCATGATGCAAATCTCTTATTTGGCAGAAAGCCTCATTTTTAGCTCCCATATCTTGGCATAGCGCACAAGATGGTATCATGGACTGTAATAGGATAGGATGGTGTAGAGAGAGAGGCAGTGAGAGAGGCAGTAAAGCAAGAAAAAGTTTTATATGCCATCAACTAACTAGCAGAAACTGTTAATTCATATTAGACTTTTCAAACCTTCCCTTATTGAAAACCATGTTCCTAAATTTATTCCTAAATCAGTGTCATTTTCTATCTTTTTAGTGCCTTTAAGAATGACTTCAAATTTGCTAATCATAAACAAAACAATTTGAGGAAGTGTAAGGTTTATAGCCTCATTATAATATCCCCTTTTGGTATGTTTCCGTCTTTGAAAGGCAATAAAATCTTAATAAAACTTTGGCTTATCAAAAGGGATCTAAATAGATTGCAGCATCAGGCAATTGTTAAAGCGATAAAGTTTAACAAGAATAAATGCAAGATTCTTCAACTAGGACAACATAATGCTGGACACTATAAATTCAGAGAGGAGTTGCTAGAAAGCAGCCCCGCAGGAAGGGACCTGAGGGTGCTGGTCAGCAGCAAGCTTGACACAGGTCAGCAGTGGGCCCTGGCAGACCAGACCGCAGAAGCAAACTGCATCCTGGGGTGCATCAGGCATGTCATGACCAGCTGGGCAGAAGAGGGGATTATCCCATTTTACTCAGTGTTGGTTATCTCACCTTGAGCACTGTGGGCCATCCTGAGCCCCACAATCTGAGAAGGATGTGGAGATCCTTGAATACATCCAGAGGAGGACAACAAGGCTGATGGAAAAGGCTGGAGGGTACGTCTTGTAAGGAGCAGCTGAGGGCTTTGGGCTTGTTTCAGAGAAGAGGAGGCTGAGATACTGTCTCATTGCTCTCTACAGCTTCCCAAGGAGGGGAAATGAAGAGGATCTGGTCTCTTTTTCCAGGTGTCCAGTGACAGGATGCATGGGAATAGTTAATTAACTAGCACTCTGAACCTATGAGGTCATAGGTATTTCATATCAATATATCTGTTACCAACACTGCCTTGGAGACAGTGTGCAAAATTTCTATTCTAGTATGGCTGCTACATCACCAGGGATAATTCAAGGATAAGCACGATGTGTCCACGTCTCCTCTACAGATAATTTATCCTACAGCTCTGATATCACAGTGACTCCTGAAATCTCATTGCTGCTATTGGGCTGATCTCTTAAATACTGCACTGTGTCAAGAGACTGACTCTATATTGGGTGTGAGGATGGGCATGTGAAGGACAATTCAAGTTCCTTGAGAAAACTACTAGAGAAAATGGAACAGAATTATTGAGAAAGACTTTTAAAGAAAGGCACTGGGATGCACCCATCCCTATTCCACTTTCATATTACTCTGAAACAAAAAACTTCTGAGAGAGTCAGACTAAGCTATGTCGGGAGAGAGTGCAAGGAAGGGACAGGAAGATGCTTAGGGTATTGGAGCATCTGACATATGATGAATGGCTGAGAGCGCTGAGACAGCTCAGCTGGGAGAAGAGAAGGCTGAGGGCAATCTTATAAATATGCATGAATGTCCAATGAGGGCAGTTCAGAAGAGAGTCAGAGGTTCTCCTTCATGGCGCCCAGTGAACAGAATAGAAGCAATGGGCACAAATTGGAATACAAGCAATTCCATGTAAGTATGAGAAATACTGACCACTTTAGTGGAAGTGGTCAAACACTGAGACAGATTACCTAGAGAGGCTGCAAACTCTCTACCTTTGGATCTTCAAGACCTGATTGGGTACAGTCCTGAGCAACCTGTTCTAGCAGACCTTGCTCTGAGCATCAGAGTTTGTCTCAACAATCTCCAACGCAACATCTAAGCCTTAGCTATTGTGTGATTCTGTAAGCACTTTGTCTTAGTTGTATTTTTCTCCTTTGGCAAAACAGAGAAGTTGTTAATCACTACTTCAGTAAACCTTTGAGTCTGCTAAAAGGACAGCTCCACACCATTACTGATAGCATGGTAATGCTCCCTTGCATTTACCCTCCTAGAGATCATGAATGAGCTTTTCAAAATGCAACAAAATTCCTGCAGGAATTGTAGTTTAAGTGGGAGGTGGGGCTTAAAATATACATCTGAAATGTAAACATTAGCAGTACTTCTAATTGTTAACAAATTATACCATATAGATTTAAGACATGCAAGGCTAAGGATATGCTTAAAAGAAATCCAAACAATGTAATTTTGATTTGTTTTTTTTTTCTTTTTTTGCAAATGAGATAGCCACAAGATTTATGTTTCATTATATATTGATATCATTACAAAAATACAAGAATGTAATGTCCTTCAAAATCCATGAAAACTGATCTGGGACTGCAAAGCCCCAGACTGATTATCATTCTGTCTGACTGTTGTTATTACTGTATCAGAATAGAGATCTGGGACCCTTTCTTTGATAGATGTTTAGGAGATGAGTATACAGCATTTTAAAATTATATTATTGTTTACAAAGACTGCAATTAAATTACTTTCTGATCCCAACCTTCCCCATCCAGAAGCTCTTCATCCACAGTAAGCAATTTCTCTAAGTGCTCTCTCCCAGTCTTATGTTTTCTATTTAGACCCTTTCCTTGGTCATCTTCTCTAACATTCCCAGATGAAGCCGTTGAATGTTTTCCCTGTTGCCACGTCACTACCACCAGAAGCT